CAGCCTCTGCAGCTCTGGCCTGTACCCCAGCTCTTGTATAAAAATAAATATTTTTTTTTTTTTTTTAAAAAAAGCACTCATTAAAAAAAAAAGAAACTTTAAAAAAAAATGCAGATTCAGATGCAGAGGGTCCAGGGTGAGACCTGAGATTTTGTGTTTTTTTAACAAACACTCGAGTAATGTCGTTGCTGCTGGTCCAGGTGCCACACCAAGGGGTTCCTGAGCTGGTCGAGAGAGCTATGTCCTTTCTGGCTCTCCTACCTGCCAGCTGTGTGGCCTGAGGTGGTCTCAGAGTCTCTCTGGGCTCCTTCATCTGGATATTACATAGGCCAACAAACACATCCTGACAGCTTACTGTATGCCAGGAAGGCCTGGGCTCTGGAGGGATAAACCCAGGAGGAGGTTTGCCGACTTAGGGGTCTTGAAAGTCCAGTGTTAATATTTAAAGACCCTTTGGATTCTAAAATCACATGGTTCTCTGGCAGAAATAGGATTATCGTATCTTACCCTTCCAGAAAACATTTTTCCCCCAGAAACTATGACAGGGATCTCCAATGACCACTGCTCTCAGGATCAGAGAATGTTCAGTCCAGAGAAATTTCACCCAAACTCTCTCTTGCCATTTAACAGGTGGAGGACACTCGAGAAGAGAGACAGAAACTGTTGGGTACAGAGCAAATACCTGGTTTTGCAGCCCTGATTTTTGTAGGTAGTGCTATCCAACGGAAATAAAAGGGAAGCCCCCCCTTTTAAGTGTCTTTTGATATATTTTATGGTAGCCACATTGAAGAAAATTATAAGGAAACAGGTGAAGTTAACTTTGATACCCATTAACATCATACGTCAAAAATCTTAGCATTTCAACATGGGCTGAATAAATAAAATTATCAACGAGATACTCTTGCCCTGTCTTATGCACTGACATTGAGCCCAGTGGCAGTGCCCTGACAGCAAAATGCTGCCCGCCACATTTCCGGCACTCAGCAGCGACCTGTGAAGGAGGCTACCATGTTGGAAGACCAGATATCCAACATCCTGTCCTCATCCTAACCAGACACAGACCACCGTGGCATCATTCCTGTGACTGGCGATCATTTTTTATAAACACTAGACCAGACTCAGACTATGAACCCTGCAACTGGGGATGTAGCTTTCTGTGCCCAAGTGGAACAGCAACACCCGGCTGGGAGGAACCTCTCAAAAGCAGCCTAATTGAGCTTGACCTCTAACTGTCCTGCAAACCAGAAGAGGCCCCGGTAGGCTGTTGTGGGTCCTAGGGAGGGCAGGCTGACAGTTGGAAGCCACCTTTCCGCAGTGCTGCTTGTGAAGTGTTTACCCAATGCCAGTTCAGGAAACCTCAGATTTTCTTTCCTTTTTCCTCTTGGGGTTTTGCACCAAACAAGTCTGTGCCCAGAGAAGTCGCTCAATTAAAGGAAGATACAATTCAGTTAAAGGGATATACATTCCAGAGTGGAAGTGTCATTTCCAGCTTGCCTGGAGGATGCACCTCCTTAGGTAACATTTGTTACATAAGCAGCACAGGACACACCTCAGATGAATGATGAATGTCTGCCCTACACCCATGTCAGCCAGGAAGCCACCTTGGTTTTCCCTAGGAGAATGATGCTGTGGAATCGAGATCTGTCGCTGCAAAAAGTACTTTTGCCAGCTGACAAGTAGGGCCAGTTCTGGGGTGTTCTACCCCAAGTGCTTTTCTACTGCAGCACAAGCGCAAGAAAAACCAGTTTCAGGGGCACCGCACCTCAGATCATATGATGCAATCTGATATTAGCGTCTCATTGCATCAGTGTTTCTGACGCCTGTGTCCTCTGTGCTGGCAGAAAGCTTTATAATGGAGAAGGAGGAAAAAGAGAGAGAGAGAGAGAGAGAGAGAGAGAAAGACCCGCTGGCTGGAATCTAAAGGTACCATCAGTACCGCTCCTAATTGGCCACACAGGATGTTGGGAGGATAAACACCCAACCAAACACCACCGCCCGACAAGCAGCTGCATGTCTTTTCTTGAAGGGGACTTGATGGCATATTTAGGAGAAATTCTTTTCTGGTTGGTTCTATGTATGTTTTCTATCAAAGCAGCCAAGTTTAATCTCCTAAATCTTTCTTAATGCGGGTCTATTAAGAAGAGGCTTTCAAAGGGTGCTTCTATTCCTTGTTTTGACCTTTCTGAAAATCTCTGAAATGTACCAGTTGATTTTTCATTTCCAAAGTTCTTTTGCATAAGTACTCCTGGCTCCCCAGAACACAGACTTTTGACTTTGATCAAATACCTCTGATTTGGGCGCTTGGCTTCTCTGTCTCCCTGTAGCCATTTGTTGCCTCCTCATTTCTGTTTCTTGTTATAATGATTAAGGAATGAATGACACTAATTTCGAATATCTGAGGGCTCTATCTTCAGGAGGTCGCCCGAAGCAGCAGCTTCCTTGTGCAGTATGCCTAAGAGAAAAGGACGCAGGTAAAAACCGCTGGTAGGAGTCCAAAGCGAACCATCCTACCTTAGGAAGGAAAGGGCAGGGGGGGGAAGCAAGTCTCATTAGAACCCCTTCCAGGGTGAACCACCAAGATCTTCTAGCAAAGATCAGCCCTTGATGGTGCTCACCAGGCTGTGCATGAGCTAGCCCTTGCCTGCTTCTTCAGTTCTAGCCACATGGCTCGTCTCACCCAGCCCCGCAGGACACTTTTCCTCCTGGGGGGCATGTTCCCAAGATCCCTGGACTTTTGGGTACTGTCCCCTCCACCTGCCCTGAACAGTCTCCTAAGCCCTGTCCATTGGGGCAATCTGTCCATCCTGTGAGTTGTCACTTGGCATAGTTTCCCATGGGGATGCCTTCCCTGACCCTGGACGAGGACAAAGTCCCTTCCGTAATGATCCTACTTAGGTGTCACTTTGCAATTTTTACGCAGGAGTTTTCCTTCACACTGACCGCCCCCGCCCCGCCCCCCTTAAGGTCCTTGAATGGCTCTGAAAATGATGGCAACAGAGACAGATGAACTGGACAAAAGCATATAACTTTAATATAAGGTTTATGTGATACTGGAGCCTTTGTAAGGGAAATGAAAATCCAGAGAAATGGACCTGTGTATTTTCAGGGGAGGCTGACGATGCGTGGACAGCCGTGGAGCACTCGGAGAGGCTGGGCAGAGGCAGGGGCAGTAGACTGGGGGCATCCAGCAGGGGTTCTTGATTCTCCCTTGTCTTCAAAGAGAAGGATGCGCCTCCCCTCCAGGTGAGCAGAGGGACCTCTCACCTGAGGAGTTCATGACCTGCCTTTTAGAGGAGGGGGGAGTGTCAGAGTGACGTTCCTGCTTCTGCCGTTTTTTCCACGACTCCCTCAGCTCATCGTATTCCATATGCTCGAGATTCAATCTCTGGAGGCCACGTGTCCTGAACCCCATCACTTATCACAGGAACTACCGAATTATCTCTCCTGTGAGAGCACGCACGTCTTGTTCCCTGGACCCCGGCACCCGCTCCGTGCCGTGCACGCGGAGGGCTCGCTAAACACTCCTCAAAAATGAAAACTGCGCCCGCACGGGCTTCCAGCGCCTCCCTGGCCTCCAAATTAACCACGGATTAACTCATTAATGGGGCAAACCTTTCTGTGCCGCCACCATGTAAGCGCCCTTCGCTGCGCCCCGGGGACCCAACCCCCGGCCAAGGAAACTCGGGTTCCCGCCGCGCTCACCCCGCGTTCCAGCCGCTCAGCGCGGGCCCGTCCCGGCCGGGAGCGCGGGCGAGTCGCTCCCTCCCGGGCGTCCTCAGGTGACCCGCCCGCGCGGCCGGGAGGCGCCGCCCGACGTTCCCCGCGGCCTCCCGGGAGGCTCCGCGCGCGGCGCGCCGTGGCCGCGCGGCTGCCGGGGGCGCGTGGGGGCGGCGCGGCCCGCGCGGCCCGGGGGGGGCGGGGGCCGGGGCGGGGGCGCCGCGGGCGGGGCCGGGGCGGGGCCCGGGGCGCCGCGGGGTCCGCCGGCCGGCAGGGGGCGCGCGCGCCCCGGGCCCCGCGCCGCCCGCCCCCGCGCGCTCGCTTGCCGCGGGCCGCACATGTGTTTCTGTTTTGTGTTGGAGCGTTTGTTCTGGAAGCCCGTATTTACATCCCGCGGCGCCGCGAGCGGGCCGGGCCGTCGTCCGGGCCGGGGAGACCCCGCGGCGCCTGCAGCGGCCGCCCCGCCTCCCGCCCGCCGCGGCTCCGCCCGGCGGGGCCGACCCCGGGCCCCGCGCGACACTTGGCGGGTCCGGGAAAGTTTTTTTTCTTTCCTTTTTTTTTTTTTTAAAGGAGAAAAGGTAAAAAAATACAAACCCCGGGGAGGGGGCGGGGGCCGGGGGCGGGCGAGGGCCCGGCGCGGCCCACGTGGCGGCGCGGACAGGCGCCCATTGTTCGGAATCAATAAAAACACCCGCGGCGGCGGCCGGGCCGGGCCGCGGCGGCGGGTCGGGCGCGGGCGGCGGGGCGCGGGGCCCCTCAAACTTCTCGTGTCCCCCGTCCGCGCGGGCAGGTGTCCGGGCTCGGGGCCGGCGCCCCCTCCCACCCCGGCGGGGCCGGCACCCAGGGCCCGGCTGGCGGGCGCCGCGGTCGGGGCTGGGGGCGCGGGGGGCCCCGGGGACGGAGGGGCCGGCGAGGGGGCGCGGAGACAAAGCAGCAGGTGGGGCGCCGGGGAGGGGCGCGCCCCGAGTGTCCCGGAGCCCCCTCTGTGGAGCGGGGGCCCCGGCGGCGCCCCTCTCCTCCCTCTACTTTCCCGGGGGCCGGGCCGCCGCCGCGACGCGGGCGAGCCCGGGCCGCGCCGGGCCGGGCCGGGGTCTCCGCCGCCCCTTCCCGGGGAGTCGGGCCCGGCCGCCCGCGGGGTCCCCGAGCGCGGCCCGGGAGCGGCGCGGCTTCCTCCCGGCTCGCCCCCTCTCCGCCCACCGCGCGGCCGCCGCTTGGGGCGGGCAGGGGAGGAAGTGGAGGCCGGTGGCGGCGGCTCCCCTCCCCCCGCGCAGTTTATAACCCGTCCATTGTGCGCGCTGCCCCGTGTCTCTCCAGCGACCATGCCCAGGAAGAAGGCGGCGGCGGCGGCCTGGGAGGAGCCGAGCTCGGGCAACGGCACGGCCCGCGCGGGGCCCAGGAAGCGCGGCGGCCCGGCGGGCAGGAAGCGCGAGCGGCCCGAGCGCTGCAGCAGCAGCAGCGGCGGCGGCAGCAGCGGCGACGAGGACGGGCTGGAGCTCGACGGGGCCCCCGGCGGGGGCAAGCGCGCGGCGCGGCCGGCGGCGGCCAAGGCGGGCGGCGCGGCCGTGGTCATCACGGAGCCGGAGCACACCAAGGAGCGCGTCGTGAGTGCGGGCCGGGCCGGGCCGGGGCGGCGGGGGGCGGCGGGGCCGGCGCAGGCCGCGGCTGAATCATCGCCGCCGCCGCCGCACAACAAAAGGGCGCGGGGCGCGCGCGGGCCGGGGGCGCCCGCCGCGGCCTAGCGACCCCGCCGCCGCCCGCCCGCGCGGCCGTTGGCCGTTGGGGCGCGCGCCCCGGGCCGGCGGGGGAGGGGCGGGCGCCCGCCCGCGCGAGGGGTCATGGCCCCGCCCCCGGCGCGCGCGAGCCGGCGCCCTCCGCGCCCCTCCCCCGCCCCGGGAAGGGAGACTTTGGAAGTTGTGGGGCCGGGGCTGAGGGAGCGCGCGCGGGGCTCGGGGGGCGGCGCGCCGCGCCCCCGCCCGCCCCCGGGCCCCCGCCGCCGCCGGCCGGCCCGGGCGCCGCGGGGGAGGGGGCTGCCGGCGCGCCGCGGGGAGCGGCGGCCGCGCCGGGGCTTTGAGGTTCCCGCCGCCTCGGCTCCGGCGCTCCGGGGAGGCGGGGCCTGGCCGCCGCCGCGCATGCCCCGTGCGACCCTGCGCCGGCTCGCGCCGCCGGGGAGGCGGGGGCGGCCGGCGCCGGGCGGGGCGCGAGGGCGCATGCTCGGGAGGGGCGCCCCTGGAGGTCGAGCCCCCGGCGGAGGGGTGCCGGCGCTTTGTTCGCCGGCGGGAGGCCGCGGGGTGCCGGGGCGGGCTCTGCGTCCCCTCCCGCTCCCCAGAAGCGCCTCTGTGCCCCGGTGGGCGCGCGTCTGCGCCTCGGGGGCTCTGCTTGCTCAGGCCGTGGCGGACTCGCCCCACGGAGAGTCCATCCCGGAGCCCCGTCTCCACGCCCGAAAGCTTAGTGTGGGACGTTGGCCGAGGAGGGGAGCAGAGCGCCCCATCTTCTCAGAGCCCCAGCGAGAGAGACCTCCCCCTGGCCCGGGCACCCGGGAGGGGTCCTGGCCAGCCGCCTCCCGCCTCCCCCGGGCGCTGGGCAGGACCTCGCCGGCTGGCGCGGCTGGTGAATGAGGAAACTGGGGCGCGGAGTTCGCGGGCCTCGCCCTGGATCGCTGGGACCGATTTCCACACGCGCAGGCCTCCCGGTGCCGCCCTCCACCGCTGCAGAGTGCTTGCACGTGTGCGAGGCCCGCGCCAGGTGGGGGGAGCGTGAAGCTGCACCTGCGGAGCGCGGGCCAGCCCAGGAGCTGCTTCCCGGGGACTAGAACCTAATCCTCTGCGGCCCCAGCCCGGGCAGCTCAGGAGGAACTGAGAGGAACGTCCCTGGACGCTGCCTCTTCTCTGTGCTTCTGAGTTCCTAAAAGCAAGACTGTTAGAGCTGCAAGTTGTGCTGTCAGGAAGTAACAGGGTCTCCCCCACGCTGAGGTTCATCCAGACTAGACTCAGGAGGGTGCAGAGGAACGCCAGGCTCCCCACGGGAGGGCCTGCAGTTGGGGCTCTGATGGAAGTGGCACCCGTGGGGTGGGGTGGGTGGTGAGGGTTACTCACAGCAGTTCCTGGCAGTTTATGTCTGTTTTATGTTTACATCGCACGTGTCTTAAATTCTGGGGATCCTGTGCATCCATGTGGATGTCTACCCCTCTCTTCCCCCCCAGCTGTATCAAATAGGCCCTCTATTTGGTCAGCACCCCAGCCCTAGGCCCAGTGCATCCAGGAGACTGAGGGCTCAACAAATGAAGCTTTTTATGGAAGAGCCTCATGGCGCAGGCACACCCCAACTTTTGGTTTTTATTAGCATCTGTTGAGTTTGGTCCAGGGTCAAGGCCTTGTCTTCCCATAGGTGTAGCTGGGCACTGCTCCTGGTCGTGGGGCGACCACCCGGTCCAGGTCTCCACCTTTTAAGCAGATCTGGGGTTCCTGTGTGTTGCCTTAGCTGACAGCAGTCCCTGGCTTATTTCAGAAAGGACTTTGTGAGTTTTGCAGACCTTGCCACTGCCCAGGGCTGCTTGCCCGAGGTGGCTTGTGAACGTAGCTGCCTGTTGTTTGGAACCTTGCTGCTTTCTAAGAGGGCAGCGCTGCAGGTGGGGAACTTGCGGAGGACGGACCCAGACCCTTGTGCGGTTGCGGGGCAGAGGTGCCTCGAGTAAAGGATGCGTGTTTTCATAAACATCCGGTGTCCATCCTGTGTGCCTCGCGCTGACAGGTAGTCGTGTGGGATGAGCTTTTTATGAGTCTCGAGAGTGATTCAGCCCCAGTCCCTGTGAACTAAGCCCTGTAGATAACAGCCAGCAGCTTTGGCCCAATTCTGGGAAACGAGCGTCCCAGGCAGTCCAGGTCTTTGTGGAGGGTTGCTGCAGTTTTGTGGACCCTGAGACAAATCTGTCCAGTCTGAAAGAACCAAATAAATACAGCTGTGAACGGAGCTTGAAGTCTGTTCCAGTTGATAGCCCACAAGGGAATTGTTGCTGCGACATTTCTCTGAATGGTCTTCCCTCCGCCCCGGCCTCGTCTGCTAAATGGATGCATGTTAAAAGGTTGACTCTCGGCCTCATAAACATGCTCCACTCTCTTGGGCAATAATTCAAAAATCGCTTTGGACGAGAAACCCCACTTTGTTGATTGCAGAAGCTCTGTTCATTTTCCTGCCAGCGCCGTTTATCTGGGCCCAGGTTACGTGGCCGGGCTGTTGGGAAGCAGCAAGGTGAAGGGACGGTCACTCATCATTCCTCGGTGAATGATCTCTCGCCTGTCACTGGAGGCTGGACCCAACCCCCCAGAGGGCCTCAGAACCTTCTAGCTCTCAGTCCTCCCTCCAGTTCTCCGGCTGGAACACCCCCCGCCCCCATCTGAATCTCTTCCCCCATGTGCCTGTTCCCTGACTGAGAGGGGCGTGGGCTGTGGCTTAAGGGGCCTTTGGGATTCTTTTCCTTGTTGTGGTTTTTTTATGTCTTATAAGGGGAAGGGGAGAGTGAAAGGATAGAGAAGTGGGAGAGGCCTGCAGCAGCAGTTGTGTAGATGGCAGCTCCCCTACCTACCCTGAGGCGCTAAGGCCTCCGTCTTCTTCATGGGAATCCGACCACTCACTGAAGTAGACTCAGTGGGTGAGATTTTCCATTATCACCTTGTCTCAGGGAGGCTGGGATTGGGTACAGATGCTTAGCTGGCCTGATGGGCCAGGTAGCCACACGCCCTTGATCTACTCCCTCAAGTGCTGGCTGGCATCTCTCCTCACAAAGGAAAGCCCGCTCCTCCTGCCCCGGGCACTGCCAGGGCCCGCTGCCAGCAGCACTGGGGAGATGGTGCTGTTCATTGTGTCTCTACGGTGAGCGCAGCGCTTGGGGCCCTGGGTCTGGGCCTGTCTGGGGAGTGGGAAGGGGCGCAGGGCCAGGCTGGCTAAGGCAGCCATCACCCCAGTAGCCGGCCCAGTGCTGGGGCTGAGAGCTCCACCTGTGGTGCTTTAGTCCCTTCCTAGTGGGGGGCAAGTCAGTGCCGTGGGCAAACCCAGAGGCTGCTCCTTCCAGGGCACCTAGATCGAGCCCGCTGGCTGCCGCTCATCTTCCCAAGTGAACCTGTAGAACGTTCCAGTCTGGGCCGCCAGTTAAACAAAGAAGGGGAGATAACCGGGGGAAAGTAGGCTCTTGTTAAAGTAACCTGAGTCTGCCGTCTGGAGGCCTGGACACCCTCCCAGCGAGGTCTTCTAAATAATTTAAATGTGGTGAAGCGAGGCTCCCTCCTGGCTGTTGCTTTCTCTTGGCCTGCGGCCTGCAGATGTATCTGTGGATGGGCCGTCTCCCTTCAGCCACATTAACGTGGGATGTGGACCTGTGCTGTGGGGGCACCCACGGCGCGGGTGGGGTCACTTGCAAAATTCCCTAAGAAGTGGAACTTGTTTCTAGGACTTCCCATCAGGGCAGAGGTTAGAATGGCTCGCTCAGGGGGTGGTTTGGCCTTTTTCTCTTTCAGCCTTCCAAGAACCATTCTGGCCACAGAAGGAAACCTCTATGCTTATAACGTCCTGAGTCCATGGGACGAGAGCAGAAGGGGGTGTGACTGAGCTCACTGTTCAGTATTGTACTCTAAAGGGGCGCACTTGGGCATTTCAGAAACACAGCACAGTGCTGAGGACACAGCTGTGATGAGGTGTGGCCAGTGGCCACTGTAAGTGGGCCATATTCCCGTGCACACCTTGAGTCTGGCCCAGATGGCATTGAGGTTGAGACAGGGTGAGGATTGAAGTGCCCTGGCTGGGATCCACCTCCTCTCCCTCGAGACCTAGCTCAGGCCACCCAGTCAGATCCGCGCACCCCTCCCAGGTCCCCATGATATTCCCTCCCGGTTCCCCATGAAAGGCTGTCGGCACAGCAGCCAGTGTGGAGAGGGCGTGGAGGGGGAAGGGGAAAGCCGACTGGGTCACTGCTGAACAGGGATGGTGGCAGGACCTTGGAGCCCCTGCCGGCTGGAGTCCAGGGTGGGTGGCTGGGCCCTCAGCGGGAACACGAAGACTGGGCCCCAGGCATGGGCACTTGTCATGTGCCTGATTGCGGCTGCGGCCTCCAGCAGATCGGGTGTGAGGCACTTTGCAGAGCGGAGGGAAGAATGTCATTTGGCGTGTTTCTTAGTGCTTTGCAAAAGGTATTTTAAAGAAAAATAAAATGGAAGGATAAAAACTAGCCTGGGCATAGGCTGAGCTGTGGTGGGCAGGTGTGCAGTGACCCGTGCGGTGGGGGTTCCACCAAGCCCCTCTGTCCATTGTGCCATCCACTGCACAGATGCCCTAATAATGAGTTGTTCCCCCAGCTGTCCTTGGACAGACTTAGAAAGCTAGAGGCAGCATTCTAAGCTAATTCTTTTTCCTTCTTTCTCTGTCTCCAGAAACTTGAAGGGTCTAAGTGCAAAGGGCAGCTTTTGATTTTTGGGGCAACCAACTGGGACTTGATCGGTCGAAAAGAAGTGCCTAAACAACAAGGTATGAAAAATGCTTCCTCTGCGTGTAAGGGGCTGTGTTAATCAAATGCTTCTTCCACGCTGGGTGTGTGTGGGCCCCAGAGACTGGTGCTAGGTGGGTAGTCTCTATTCACATGCCTGTTTAGAGAGGCCAAGTGGCTTCCCCACGGCCCACAGCCACTCTGGTGATGCAGCGGATTTGAGCCCTGCCCCTGTGAAGGCCTCTCCCTTCACAATTGACCTTTTTAAAACCAAGTTCCATGAAGGTCGAACAGGAAAATGTAAATTGTAACCCCAAATAACCATTGATACCTTTTTTCCATTTTCCTTCTCATGATACTTATTTTCATTAAACCAAAAAGACGGTTTGGTTCTCTGGGGTGTCAAAATGTCCTACATGTTTGTCACATGTCTGATGTCAAAGCAGTGGACCTTTCAGAAAAGCCCACATCTCTTTGCAAATTGCCAGTTGTTCCAGGTCACGGTCAGAAGTAGGGGAGCTGAGAAGTCCTAGGAAGTAACGTCCAGGCCCCAAACGCTTTCAGAACCTCCGTGTCTCTCCTTAGGAGAATACCGCCCATCCCAGAGAGAGCGCCTGGCACAGCGCCACATTTTATGGCTTCTTGATTTCCTTTGGAAAGATTCCCAAAGTCCTTCCCAGCATGGCCCAGTGAACAAATATTTGCACACTGACACTCCCTGGTGCCTCGAGATGGCAGGGAACCATCTTATTCCATGACAGCAGCAGGCGTGTCAGCGGAGCTAGAAGTGGAAACTGGGCCTTCCTGTCAAGGGAAATGCCCAGCCTTCAAGACCCGCCATTGGGCCCAGGGCTCCACAGTCAGGGCTTCCACAGCCAGGGTGACAGCACCTGCGGGCATAGGGCTGGCTGGGGCCGCTCCATTAGGGGACTCTGTCCGCTGGCTCCCTACCCCTCAAAGGTGGTGGGGAAGGTAGGGCACCAGCTCTGCTCTCACGCAGAGCTGAGCAAATTCTGCCCTGACTGGCCTCATTTGAAGTCTTCTTTATTGTCTGCCCGTTTCCAACTTCCCCATTCCTCCCCACCCCACAAGACCCACGGGGAGGATTTTTCTCCCCACTGGTGCCTCCACCTGGAGGCTGCCCTCCCTCCCCAAGGCCCTGGTGCTCAGCGCCTCTCAAGCACCGCACCTCACCCGCTGTGGCCTGGGCGAGCGCAGGGCTCAGGCCTGCTCTCCTCCAGCCTGGCGGCCCCGGGGACCCAGCATGTGCAGAGCTGCCCAGGGAAGGCCCTGGCCTGGCCGAGCTTCTGTCCACTGGGAGGCAGAGCCACTGGGCCTGGCAGGCGCTGGGATGGGTCACAGGGCTGATGTTCCCAGCTGTGCCCTCTTTTGTTTTGCCTTCATGGTAAACAGACTCTACTAGGACCTATGCAGGCTGTTTGGTTTGCTTTCTTCCCCAGGAAATGACTGCTTTTTCCTCCACCTCTTGGTGGTGAGGAGTGTGTTCAGGTGAAGCTTGGCTGTCACTGTGTGACATTACGACTTGTGGTCACGATGCTTCACGGGGCCGGGGTAATTCTACTCACCCGACATACCTAAAGGATAAGACACATGGCGCCCTCTGCTGGTGGGCATCCCCAGGTGGGGTGGACCTTGAGCAGTTTCCCACTGGAGCTGGCAGGGCTGAGAGTCAGCTCATGTGTGGAGATCAACTGCGCATGATCGATTGGGCAGCGGCCAGCATCTCATAGCAGGCCCTGCGGGCTGAGAAACACTCGCTCTGTCGTCGAGAAACCTGCTTTGAAAATCTTAAGTGAGTCTGTCGTCAAGAAACCTGCTTTGAAAATCTTAAGTGAGAAATTTGCCATGCCCAGTCGACTGATAGGGTGGCATGGGATCTTGAAGGAGACAGCTGTAGCTTTCCTCCCACACGCCTTCTTAACATCACTGGGTGCTAACTGTGCTGGGCAGTTGTGAGGCCCTGAGCTAAAGATGCAGGCTTCAAAGGCCCAGCTCTGATGCTCCAGCTCTGACGTACGGTGCTGTGAGGACTCCCTGGGTGCAGTGGCCAGGAGGACACAAGTTAACAGGGGAACGCAGGCAAGGAGGACTTCCCAGAGGAGGGGGTCCTTGACCGGAGAGTTGAAGAATAAGCAGGGGCCAGGCAAGGGTATTCTGGGGGAGCAAATAAATGGCCAAAGACAAGGGCCCATGACCTGGGCAACAATGGGACCCTGAGAAAGAGGCAGCAAAGTGGCTGGAAATGGGCCAGAGAGGTGAGGGCAGAGGGCCAGTGGCTCTGGAGGATGGTGAGGAGACCTCAGAATGGGGTGCGCAGAGAGGAGGAGGATGGGGCAGATACTGGGTCTGTTGCCAGCATTCCCGGCCTGGACCCTCCTTCCTTTGGGCCGCTTGCCTGTAGGCATGCTCAGTACTCGTGGGTCCGAGGTCCTCCTGGGTCAGGGCCAGAGATGGAGGTGGAACCACGTCGGTGTCCAGATGGCCACTGACTAGTTCTGTGCCAGCTCTGGGGGCAGTTTCTGAGCTGCGATTTTCTCTGGCAGCCTCCTGGCGCCGGGAGAAGAGGCACCCCCAGGCTTCTGTGGCTGCATCACCGCGTAGTGATCCCTTTGGGGCAGTGAGATTTTGGGGGTGCGGTGTGCTTCACCTGCCATCACTGGTCTGTGGGTGTTTGATTTGCATTCTTACTCTCTTTGCAGCTGCTTACCGCAATCTTGGTCAGAATTTGTGGGGGCCTCACAGGTATGGGTGCCTGTCGGGGGTCCGGGTGCGGACAGTGGTTTCGGGTTCGTGTGCTGCCCACAGCCTCCTCATCACCACAGAAGGGAAGCTGTGGAGCTGGGGTAAGTACCGCTCTCTGGCCAAGATGCTCGGTGACACTTGGAGCTGGTCCCAGGGCTGACTTCCTCTTCAAGAAGATGAGGCTGCACCCCGAGGAGGCAGTGCTCCCTGAGATTTGCAGCCCAGTTTCTTCCCAACATCCAGCTCGCTTCATCTGTAACCTGCATATAAATCACCTTCTCCCCCTTCCCTGCCTTTTCTTGTCTGTGTGTGGCTCCCTGACACTTGATTCCTCTTACAGAAAAGTAACCTCATGCTGGACATTCTGGCTGAATCTGGACCTGATATCCAGGTGCCTGGAACTGAATTCCTATTTTAGGTTTAGGCGTGCTGTCCCCCCATCAGAGTCCCCTTCCTTCTTGGCACCCCGGTGTGACGTAAGGCCTCTGTTCTTGCCACTTCAAATGCCACGGGCTTTTACCAGGGCAGCATGGTGACGTCAGCCCTGCATCTGCAGCCCGGTTCCCGGGCATCGCAGGCTCTGGGTTCTGTGGCTCATTGCCTGTTCTGTCCGTTTCTTACAGTTTCCCAGAGAGTTGAGTTTACTTTTTCTGAGTTGATTGACTTTTTTCTCTTCTGCTGGGTTTCTGCCCTGGGGACTCAGGAGGCCCCCCCCATCCCTACCTTTGTAGTCCCCTGCAAAAGGGCTTCCAGACATGGCCTCCCGGCCCTGTTCCCGATCATCAGCACGGGCATTGGCGAAGGCGCCGTTTATCCCCAAGCCCTTCTGGTAGCTCCTGGACTCTCCCCCAGCTGGGCAGCTTGGCATCTGTCCCCGCCCTTTGTTCTGGTCCTTTGGCTAGCTCTTAGTCCATATGACTGCATTTTTATTTCGGTCTGTTTGAACCATTTTTTGCAGTTTCACGAGCTGCTCTACCAAAGTCCAAATATATTAACATCTGTTGTCTTCTCTGCACTCTGCTAATTTTGTAATTCCGTTGAAAAAAGCTAACAACTGTGTCTGGCCCAAATTTATACTTTATAGTCTCTTGATGACATGCTGACATCGCCATGAATTTCATTTTCCCCCGGTTGGCATAGAGGTGTGTCCCTCCCCCCAAACACCCCTCCTACTAATGTTCCAACGCTGAACAGGCATTCTGTGTCAGCTTCTGAGCTTCAAATATCTTATTTCTGATCTCTTTACTGGGTTTCACTTACGTGGTACTTCTAAAAATGTCCCCTGGGCTGACCCCACGGGCAGGGAGTGATTCTGAAGCCTTTGTGTCTGACCGGGCCCTGTGGCAGATGAACGCCCATGGGCAGACCTGGTGCTAGAGGGGTGCTGTGCTGGCAGGCATGTCACAAAGACACTCTTGGCCACTCTGAACGGCGGGGGCATTGTCCTGTCTGTAGCAGGAGTGTGTGGAGGGGCCTGCACTGCCGGCCAGTCAGGCCTCGAGTGCGCTGAGACCCCACTTAGCACTGCCCTACGTTGTGAGTGCCGTTCCTAGGGGGTTGGGGCAGCTTCTGTTAGAAGCTGTGCCTGCCTCCTGCCAGTGTGCAGTAGCCATGGCTACCTCCAAGGACAGGTGCCCTGTGTCCCAGAGGCCCATTCCTTCCTGGCCTTCTCAAGGCCTCTCCCTGAGGCCTGGTGCTTGTTCTGGTGCCACTCTCCACATTCTTTGGCCCAAAAGGTGAAAGCTTTCGCTTGGGGAAGGGGATGAAATGTCCCCAGAAGTTGCCCTGACCCTCTGGCCCCATAAAATTGCCTAAAATCTGCAGATATTAGATTGTAGGTGAGGCTCTTCGCTAGAAGGGGGACCTGTTAAAGGCCATTGAGTTGTTCTGTTTCGGAACTCGTGTAGCTTGTGGTGAAATCTAGGTGTGGTTTTGGGGAGTGCGGCCTCCTCAGCCCACCCTACTCTCCATGCCTGCTCAGGCGCGGAAGAGCTTTGCCAGGGCGGTCTGCCGTGTGCTCGCTGGGTGTGTGTGGCTCGGGGTCCCGTGAGGCTGGAGCGTGGGCGGTGGGTGGCACTGCTGTGTGAGTGCGGCTCAGTGGGCAGAGAAAGGAGAGGGGTGATGGCAGGTGCCAAATGGTCCACGATAGACACCCAGAGCACTGAGGTAATTAAACTCTTGTGAGGCAGGTGTCGAAAATGGTTACTGTCTTAAAATACCTCGGAGTGAAGGGAGTGAGGGAATCGTCTGGCAGGTGCTGAGAAGTGAGAGCAGAGCAGTGAGTTTCCACCTGTGCACCGTCCGGCGGCTCGGTGTCCCCCTGGTGGCAGAAGCTGCAGAAAGTGCTGCTGGCCCAGAAAAGAGGGCCAGGGCAGGTGAAGTGGGCAGTGCCTGCGCAGTGGGCTTGGCCCGGCGCCTGACACCTTGCCCTGGTGCGGCTGGGCAGGCCTCCAGAGCCTGCTGGGAACTTGGAAGCCTGAGCTGTCGCCCTGGGGAACACCTGCCTGCAGACCCATACCTTCCCCAGGCAGGGTGCCCCTACTGCCCCAAAGCTGCTCTGGCCACCTCTCTCTGTCCCACTATTTCTTGCTTTTGATTTGCAGGTCGAAACGAGAAGGGACAGCTCGGTCACGGCGACACCAAGAGAGTGGAAGCCCCCAAGCCCATTGAGGGGCTCAGCCACGAGGTGATTGTGTCTGCCGCCTGTGGGCGGAACCACACTCTGGCCTTGACAGGTAAGGAATGGCTGGTATGTCCACATTTGGCCAGGGGGTGGGGTGGGCTGGCACCCCGTAACTAGGTCACCTCAGGAGGGATGTCTCTGAGAGCGCAGTGGGTGCTGCTGAGGCGCCTTATCCTGGCCAGGGAGCAGGCTGGGCCTGTGTGCGGTTTGTGCCGTGAAGTAGCTTTGCTTCCAGTTTTCCGCTGCCCCTCTTGCATCCATCCTGGCAAAGAAGCTGTTTTTATTTTGGTGTCTTTAATTCCTAATCTCAGTATTATCTTCCTGTGTGATTTTGTTCTTTTCCTTCCAGAAACGGGCTCTGTGTTTGCGTTTGGAGAGAACAAGATGGGGCAGCTGGGCCTCGGCAATCAGACAGATGCTGTCCCGAGCCCCGCGCAGGTACCTGGTGCCCTGCTCTGGCTTGGAGCCTCCTTCCTCTTTGCTTTCCTGTTGTGTTTTCTGGACTGAGCCTGTACTGCTCACTGTCTTGAGTTAGTCCTTGTGAAAAAGCCTCGATGCTGTCAATGGAGCACGTTGTATGTGTGGTCACAGTTGGAGAATATCCTGAAAGTAGTTTTCTTTCTGACTGAATTAAGTTGTTAGGGAGGCCTTCTTTTAAACCTGTTCTATCCCATAGGAAGTGAGAAGTGTTATGGATGTGATTTGTCTTTGCAAATTCTTCAAGTGTTGACTTTGTATGAAATCACCTGCCAGGTGCTTTGAACACAAATCAGAGTTAGGTAGACCCTGGAGTTTCTGAGAGCAGGGTGGGAGTTATCCCTACACGAGGAGCCACAAACAGAGCAGAGGGTGGCAGAAACCTGCAAGTAATTAGGTAATGGGGGCGCGGTGCTGGGTCCCTTGGTCCTAAAGGAGACGGGGTTGAGGGCCTACTGCCAGCCGCATGCTCGCCGGACCTGTGTTGGCAGCAGGAGGGAGGCCTGGTTGCGTGCATTGGCAGGTTTTCTCAGCACTGAGGTTTGTTTCCAAATCTCATGTTCAGTTACGTGAGAAGGGCCTTTTCTGTCTTCCCGCTAACTTCCTAATTTTGAACTGTTTTATTTCTTGTTCACACCTCCCATTAAGACCAATTAGTCAGGCATCTCTACAGCAGTACAGGAGACTATAAAACAGTTTACTCTGCTATTTGGCAGTGACACTTACAAAAGCTTTTCTTCTGAAGGTGGGGCTAACATCAGCATTCATGAGTAAAGTGAGATTTGTCTAGTTTGTTTTCTTTCGCCCTAGGGCCCATGCCCGTCAAGTGGTCAGCGTCTGCTGGGCCCTAGCTAGCGTGGTGGTAGTCAGTGAAGACAGCTGCGACACCAAGAGCTTACCTGCCCTTGAGCTCCGCTTGGTACTGGAAGCCTGGGGTCCCAGGGCTGTGTCTTTACTGTATTCTGAGTTTTTGCCCTCAGAATCGTTGAGTCTGAGAGATTTCCTTTCTAACCTAGTAATTGTTTCACACTAATCTACAGGGAGGCAGAGACTTTCTATCAATCTTTTTAAAACGTCTGAAAGTCTGCTGTTTTTTCTTTTCAGATAATGTACAACGGCCAGCCAATTACCAAAATGGCCTGCGGGGCTGAATTCAGTATGATAATGGACTGCAAGGGGAACCTCTACTCCTTTGGGTGCCCTGAATATGGTCAGCTGGGTATGGAAATAGACTTTTTAAAAGCTCTGTGATCTTAACTGTGTGTTTAGAGCCAGGAGTCAGTGTGGGGCCGCAGGCCTGAGAAGGGGGCGGGGGCTGATGGCAGGTACAGTGCTGGGGCCGCTGAGGGGGCCTCAGGGCCGCCAGCCTCAGGGCCCAAGTCTGACAAAAGGGTCTTTCCTGATTTGGGAATTTATATAAAAGGATTTTAAAGTTAACAAAAAATCAAACTATCTCCATTCACTTTGGCCCTGGAGGACTTGCCGTCACTGGGGAGCTGCCGCGGCTCCTTCCCTGCCCCCACGCGGCCATCTGGGTGCAGACCAGCAGCGCCCGCGTAGGAAGGGAAAAGCCCCAAGGCCCTTCTCAGCCAGTGGAAAATGTCTCCCGATCAGATTTTACAAGGTCTCCATTTTCTTTTCCCATCTGACACCGAAGTGGTTTTTTCCTTCCTGGCGCCTGCCCACCAGCCAGCCCCTCTCGGGAGGCGCGGCGCGGGGGCGCCCTCTGCTGGCGCGCGCGCCCGGATCCGGCCCCCGCATCTGGGCGGCGCGTCACGGGCGCAGATGGCGGCTGTATAAATAGCCGGGCACCTCCGGCCGGGCCCGCGGGCGACGGTGACTCGGAGGCTAAATATACCTCCAGTCAGGAGCGAGCAAGGGAGAGCGGCCCCTTACGTGCGTGTGGCGCTGGTTGCCAGGGAGTTGCCAGACTGTTGCAGAAACCGTTGCCATAGCCACGGGCCAGGCCTCCCGGCCCCCCCGGCGGAAGTGCGTGCTGGCCCTTCCGGAGCAGCGCGCCCCCCGCGCCCCCCGAGCTGCCGCCTCGGCCTCCCCGGGGGCGGCGAGCTTCCAGGTGCTCGTGGCCGCCAGCGCGGCTGCACCCCGCTCGCCGTTTAGCTTGCCGTTTAAGCACTTGCAGTTTGGTTTGCTTTTTCTCTAGTGTGGAGCAGCTGTTCCCGCCAGCTTGTCTTAAACCCTGCCTCTGCCTCGTCTACATCCAGAGACCCTTCAGCTTGGGGCGTGAATGCGGGGGGGGGGGGGTTGGGGGGGTCACGGCAGGGGGCAGCACCCCTCCCCCTGCTCCCGGCCCTCTGGGTCAGGCAGGGAGGGGGTGTGCTCTTTGAGTCTATGCTCCAGCAGCATTTAGGCGCTGTGAGTCATAAAAACGCAGGTCTGAGGTTGTGTTGCACTTTTCTGGGCCCATCCAGGGGCTCCTTGAGGCCCCCCAGGCAGGACGCAGACCCTCCTTTGATCAGTTGCTCGGGTGTAAGAAGTGCCTATACATGGTGACCCTGTTGGAACACAGACATTTGAATTTTGACAAGATATTTTTTGTATAGACCACCATGGGTGTTTGTCATCCTGTTTGTTTTTTTAAAATAACTGGCTTCTACCCCCACCCTTGGTGTCCTGGCTCGTTGTGGGGTGGGCTCAGATTGGAGAGTGCTGCCTGGCGGACAGATTCCTGCCAGGCCTCATGGGCCTGGGGGCTCCTATGCCGCTGCTGACCTGTGCCTTTGGTGGCTCTAGGACACAACTCGGATGGGAAGTTCATCGCCCGGGCACAGCGCATCGAGTACGACTGTGAGCTGGTGCCTCGGCGAGTGGCCATCTTCATCGAGAAGACAAAGGATGGGCAGATCCTGCCAGTCCCCAACGTGGTCGTGCGTGATGTGGCCTGTGGTGCTAACCACACGGTAAATGTGGGGACTCCTGACCTCTGCCCGCCTCCTGGGCCTCGCCTTACCCGGCTGGTGGGGGGCAGCAGGCTCCAGCGCCATAACCCTTGGCTTCCTCAGGAGTGGGCCCCAAGCCCCATTGAGTTGGCAGCCAGGCAGGGTTCTCAGGGTCACGGCTCTCTCCACGTAGCCAAGCGGACGGGCAAGTGGGGTCAGGATCACGTGGTGTCTGCTTCTGGCTTTTGTCCAGCACCGTCATGGCGTCTCTCCAGGCAGAGACTCCATCCCATGCCAGGGGCTGAGTCACTCTTCACTGTTGATGTGGTTTCCTGAAAGGTCCCTTTCGATAAACAGCAGGACTCGAGCCGCTGTGTCTCCACTGGGGCCTGCCCACATGTGCTGTGCCCTGAGAACAGTCGCACCAACCTGGGCTCACTTCTTGGTCCCAAGGACGACGGGCTGATGTGCGGCCCCACTCAGGCCGCCTGTTGACCTGGACTAGGACAGTGTGGTCAGGGGAGCGGTCAGGTGCTGCTTAGGACCCCCAGGCCGGTTGTTGTCATCGGTTGTGCAGTCTCATGGTTCGTGTGTGAAACATCAAAGATGCCGAACAGATGTTCAGTTGTGGCAGCCACCAGCTGGAGGTGACCTGGGTCAGCCGAGCCCTCCAACCAGGCAGGCCTCCAGCCTTCCTGGGCCCCGTCAGTGTAGCTTGGGGTGAGGGAACGCTTTGCTCAGGTCTCTGGGCACATGATTCTCATTGGAGGGTCTTTTTTTTTAATAGGCTTTTTTGCATTTGTTTTATGCTGAATTTATTCCTGGCCATGTTTCTGTTTCTTTTGTGTATCTCCTCCCCTGGTTTAGGGACTCTGCTCTTCTCCAGTGAGGACCCCCTGTGTGCAGGGAGCGTGAGCAGGGTTTGGTGTTTGGCCTGATAACTTCCACTCACTCCACCCGTGTACCTCGGGAGGGACACACGTTGCCCCCGCACCGGGGTGTCCTGCAGACATGCCCTTGTTGGCCCTGAGCTCTTGCGTGTGTGCCTTTAGGTGAACTTGAAGGTTTTGAATTTTTCTGGGTCAAGTGAATAGCGAACCTTGTTAAGTGGCCACCTAGGGCCCCTGACAGGAGGCACAGCTCTTGCTTCTGATGAAGGAAGGGCCCAGGCATGACTTAAATGAACTAGTAGGGATAGAAGGTGGCGTCCCTGGAGGCCTGTGTCATCTCCCAGGCTCCTGCAGTGTGTCTCGTGGGACCCAGTCGTCAGGCCTGTCCCAGCACTGTGTTCTGTCCCCACAGCTGGTCCTGGACTCCCAGAAACGTGTCTTCTCCTGGGGCTTCGGGGGCTATGGCCGGCTGGGCCACGCCGAACAGAAGGACGAGATGGTACCCCGCCTGGTGAAGCTGTTCGACTTCCCAGGGCGCGGGGCATCGCAGATCTACGCTGGCTACACCTGCTCCTTTGCCGTCAGCGAAGTGGGTTAGTGTTCTCCCGTCCGGCCTTGGGAGAAAGGTATCCCTGGTGGGTGCCTGCTCACGATAGATAGCCCCCGGGACCTTGCTCCTGTGCCAAGACTAGGGCCTGGATTTGGCTGACTCCCCAGGCACCTCCCGGAAAGAGAACTGCACAGTGGGCTCGTCCTGCCTTCGTCGTCCATGATGCCGGAGGTGGAGCCAGCTCTTGAGGTGTCTGGTCACAGTGGGAACGTTTGTCTTTCTTAGGGGGTCTGTTTTTCTGGGGGGCCACCAACACATCCCGTGAATCTACCATGTACCCGAAGGCTGTCCAGGACCTCTGCGGTTGGAGAATCCGGAGCCTGGCTTGTGGGTATGTGGCTGAGACTTGGGGGTCAGGAGGGGCTGGTGGGCCCGGGAAGGCTTTTGTTCTTGGACACTCACGCTGTTGGTTCAAGTCCATACGCAGGCGGGAGCAGACACAGGGGAGAGACACTGTCTTTAAGTCAGTGATTTTCAATTTATATGAGGCCACCATTGAGGTCTAGTACTTTCTGGGCAAGGAGTTTGATTGTTAATTAGCTGCCTGGTTGTGGACGGGAGTGGGGCTTTAATCCGAATTTTTAGCCCTACCCCCTTTGGGAGGAACTTGTGTTCATCCTGGGATGGTCTTCTCCCAATGTGTGTTGACCTCAGGACCCCTAGATCCTAGTGGGTATGTGTGTGTGGGGGGGTGGGTCCTGGCCCTGCTGTGTTATTTGGAAATGAGAGCATCGAGGAGCCTGTAGTGGGATGTAGTTGACTTTAATAGCCAGTAAGTGGCTCTATGCTCCTTAGCAGGGAGCCCAGGTCATGAGGGGGGGACAGGGCTGGGGCTGCTGGCCGTGGCCATGACCATTTGCCTGTTCGCAGGAAGAGCAGCATCATCGTGGCTGCAGATGAGAGCACCATCAGCTGGGGCCCATCACCCACCTTCGGGGAGCTGGTAAGCCTGCTCAGTGCGGAGAGGGTGGAACCCCACCGAGCCCTCAGGACCTGCCTCCTAGAAATACGCCCAAGGAAGATAGGGCCCCACCAGTGTCCTCCCACTCACCCCCGTTGCATTAAAGACCTATGTGCCTTAATCTTGAGTCACGTCAGCTTTCAAAGATAACTCTGTGCCCATCACGTGATGTGTGAGTCCTCTGTCCACGTTGCAAAATAAAGTTGCCCAGTTCAGATTCCCTGTTTTGCATCTGTAGACCATGATGGGAAAGGGGCTGTGTGTCCCTCCTCCCGGCTCCGCGGGGTTGAAGCAGGAACAGCCTGTCCCATGATACCATGTGGCCCGCGCTGAGGGTGCCAGAATCTTCCTCGCTCTCCTTGGCCCCGTCTGGTAGACGGTGTTCCCTCTGCTCCAGACTGGGGGGGGAAGGGCTGTTGTCCCTTCTCAGCCTGCAGCACGGTGACCCTGCCTCCGCTTGCTTCCCAGGGTTATGGGGACCACAAGCCCAAGTCTTCCACCGCAGCCCAAGAGGTGAAGACGCTGGACGGCGTGTTCACGGAGCAGGTGAGCAGGGCTCTGGCCTGTGCCAGCCTCCTGAGCAGCTTTTCTGCCACCTCGTGCTGGACTTCTGGTAGGGGAGGTGGCAGGAGCAGGTGCTGAGGCGTGTGCAGGCGGGGCCCCACCCTGAGTGACCCTGGCCACTGAGTCCAGCCACGTGGGTTTACGTGCCGAGCGCCTTGCTCACACCTGCCTTGCAGGGCCTGCACACCACTAGGCCGCTAGGTGGGGTCCCTGCTGCTCCATCTACCAGGCTGCCAGCCCATCTGTGGCGGTGCAGACGGGGGTGGGTGCCCTCTGGCAGGCACCCACTGACCCTGTGGGGGAATCAAGGAACAGGCACCCCGCCACCCTGCTACAGTGTGGGAGCTGATGCGCTGGGCCTCCTTCCGTCTCTGCTCCCTGTGGCAGCCTGTGCGGGGCACATGGAGACCAGGGGTCTCAGTGAGGGGCTGAATACGCTTTGCAGGTCGGCCCCGTGCACACTCCACATTGGGCCAAAGCAGCGGTGCGCCCTGCATACCAGCACTGGTTTGTTCCCCCAGGTTGCCATGGGCTACTCGCACTCCTTGGTGATAGCGAGAGATGAGAGTGAGACCGAGAAGGAGAAGATCAAGAAACTGCCAGAGTATAACCCCCGAACCCTCTGACTCGCCTGGGTCTCCGCACTCCACCTCTGCGGCAGCTGTCATTCCATGCACTGGGACGGGAAATCGAGCGCGGAATCTAAAAAGCAAAGGTTGACCGAAGGTGCATTTTTGTTAGCCTCCCTGAGGTTCCGTTTTATAAGTGATCCAACATCAACTACCTTCTCTGTATGCTTTCCAAAGTGTTTTTTTTTCTCTTAACTTTTCATTAAAATATTTGCTCACAGTCGACTTACCATTCCTACAAAAGAGGCAAAACTTTGAGCAATCTAGGCTTTTTTAAGTTGTTTTTCTTTTTTCCCTGCTCCCACACACACTTCTCAAAGCCCCTCTCTCCAGTTGTAATTAACGTCGTGATCCGAGTGGGTGTTACCTGGGATAGGAGCCACCGCTTTCTCAGAAAAGCAAGTGGCCCTTGGGGTACCGGCAGCATCCAGGCAAAGACTCCATCCAGAATCACGCCCGCATGCTACGGAAGCATCTGGGGCCCTTCTCCCCGCTCTCTCCCGTGGCCGGCCGAGGCTGGCCGGCGTTCTTTCTCCCCTTGGCTGCGCGGAAGCCCTACTGCCTTTTGGCTGCAACATCAGTAGAATCTGCCGTTTCTCCCTGCCGGTGGGGGCTCTGGGGTCTGTGTTTAGCCGTTCACATCTACTTTAGCTGTCAAAGAAGTCCAAATGGAAATCAGGTGATCGTGGAACCAGTGGGCACCGGAGGAGCGAGCAGAGGTGGGGACGCTGTTTCTGGTGCAAGATCGGCTTTAAGGCTCCTCTGACCAGCCAGGGCCACCTCGCTGGCACCCGCCAGCAGAGATTGATCAGCCAGCAGCAAGAAGTGCATTCTGGAGTCCTTGCAGAGGAGGAGCAGCCCTTTCTGTACCAGCCTCTGTTGCCTTGTGCTTCTGTCTGTTCCCCTCACCGGCTGGATCCTGCTCGAACGGCCTGTTCTGTTCCGAGACACGGGCTCCTGCTCCGTTCACCCAGCGTTCTAGTCGCATTTGCTTGGCTCTGGTACCAAATAGTTGGGATTACCGAAGACGTTCCCTTCCCCGCGCGTCAGCACAGACCATGTGACTGCCCCCCATCACCCCCAACAAGTGCCCTCTGCCCAGCTCGTCCCGGTCGCGCTGCTCTGCGTGAGTTATGAGGTGCCTTTCCCTCCTCTCACTTGGACCCAAGAGAGGGACAGCTCTGGCTGGGGCTCTTGGTTTCGAGAGGGTCTGGACTGGTTTGGGTGCTTTAAAATAGATTTTTTAGTTCCGTGGTGCTTACGGGGGAGATGGGGGTAGAACTTCAGTGTGAGATTTGGGTGGATGGGAAGGTTAAAGGTTAAATACTGGTCTTTTTTGCTTTGCTATTGTTAACCACTTGTCACTGTCTCGATGTTAAAATGCCAAAAATGATCTAGTCGTTGCTTTTTCCCCTTACTCCCGTCACTCCTTGCAGTGGCTTCTGCCTTTGCAGAGCGTTGAACAGGATCTGACCCGGCCAGTCCCGAGGCCGCATGTAAGGAGATTGGCCGAAGCTTTAGTCTGATGTCACGCTCATCTCTCCCGTTCAGTCGGTAGTCCAGGAAGGAAGCTTCTGCCAAACTAACCTGATTGGTCCAAATCACCCCCAAACCACCATCTCTGATTCAGTGTGGAGCCCCTCGGTTTCCCTGGCTGAGTCTCGTGGAAGGAGCTTGGGCACACCCACCCCAGTGCCCTGGCCACCTGTCTCCTGGGCTCACCGGGGGTGGCGGGAGCTGCGGCTGAGTCCTGGCCCTCGCTGGAGCTGCCCTGGCCATCCACGGTCTGCCGTCTGCCTGGGGATTAGCCTGAAGCCCATGGCCAGCCAATTCTAGAAGCCCCTGGCCAGGGACTGGAGCAGGAAGGGAGCATCCTTCCAAGTGAGGCCTGTCCTCGCACAGCCATTCCTTTCGGCTTTGAATTTTAAGTGACCTACAAGGGAGAGAACTCTAGGACAAGGAGTTGGGTGCTCCTGCACTCCGAGAGAAAGGTACAGAGTGGCCCCGGGCAGGATGGGTGTTTGCTGCTGACCCTCTGGGCAGCCGACGTCTTCCAGCTGAGGTAGAGGCGTGGAGGAAAGGGGATGGAAGAGGAGGAGGTGATTTGGTGAAGGTGCCTGGTTTAGTGCTGTAATTGTCTTATTTTTTTTTTTATATATATATTCTTGGAGTAAACATTTTAAATAAAAGACATCATTGTTTACTCTGTTTTGGCTTTGTTTCTTTTTCCATTGGAGGAATGACGGGCACCCCCTGCCACTGGCTGCTCATGCACCCCAAAAAGAGCTGTTGAGAGAAGAATGGTTCTGGGGAGGAGGGCCAGTGGTATGTAACTGCTAGGGGGTGAGGGTGGTTGACCTCACTTGCCCAAGTCACACTGGTTTCGAAGAGGATTCACCAGATCAGGCATGGGAGAGTCCAGACCAGTGGTGCGTGTTCTCAGCCAGCCCAACTCTTCAAGGATCCCAGGGGTCACTGATGTGACTTCAGGCCAGCGCTGACCCCTATGGACAGTGTGGAGGATTGACCACCAGGGGGTGCCAGAGGCCAGGCTTGTGTCGAGGCTCCCCAGGCGTGGGCTGCTGCTCCCCAGTGGCGCCTGTGAGCCCAGGCTGCTCTGCCCGCTTCCCTGAGCTTTAGCCCACACGGGCCACTGGCCATGTGAAGCCGCACACACCACATGGATCACTGCTTGGCAATGCCGGTCACTTTGACACTCACCCTCCTAGAAGGAAACTGCTTCCCAGTCTAGAGCCTCCATAGCCACAGTCAAAATGTAAACTGCATCCTTAGAATTTCCCAAGAGCTGATGGCAAACCAGGTCCTGGCCTGAGTGCCCAGCTGGGTGGGGGACATCGAGTGCCAGCTGCCAGACTTGGCTGCATTTAGAGATGTGCCGTGGGCTCCCCGACGCCGGGTGCCAGGAGGTAGAGGCCTTTAGGAAATAGGAAGAGAAGGCAAATGTCCAGAGTCATGGCCTTGGTGTGGCCGCGGTGGCAGGTCGATGGACTGTGTGCTTGGAACCACTCTGCCGGAGTCCCCAGGAATGAGGACCCCTTTAGGAACTTGCTCCTGGTGCAGGGCAGAACCCCCTGCTGGGGAGAGGCACCTTCGGGCTTGAAGCTGGCCCCCAGCCAGCCCCAACATGAGCTGCTTGGGCACCCAGTACAGCATAGGTAGGCAGGGCCGGAAGGGTGTCAGGCCTGCAGCCCAGGGGAAGCAGTGGCCGGTGTTGGGGTCCACTTCCTGGGAGACAGCCCCCCTCAGTATAACTTTGGGGAGTTCTTTGTTCGCAAGGCCATTGCTGTCCTGTGCTTGGCAGGCCTCTGAGCCAGCATTGCCAGCAGCACAGGCTTGCCCTGGAGAGGTGCGGGGGAACGGGGGCAGGGGAGCATGCAGCAGGGAGGTTCTTATGACAGTTGGAGAGGCTGAGAACAGAATGTGGTCACCTGGGGGAAAGGCAAGGGAGGGGTGTGAGCCAGGAGAAGTTTGGAACCTGAAACCCTCAACTGCCCCGGAGTTGCCTCCATCCCACGCCACCCAACGGGGTCCACTGAGCGCCCTCAAGCCTGTACACTGGTCTTAAACAGTTTATAGTACTGCTATAAACATAGGGGTGCAGGTGCTCTTTGGAATTGATGTTTCTGTGTCCTTTGGGTAAATACCTAGGAGTGGAATTGCTGGATCATATGGAAGCTCCATCTTTAGCAGGTTGAGGAATCTCCACACAGCTCTCTATAGTGGTTGGACCAGTTATGAGTCTGCAATTCTTGATGCAGGGACTTGCTTGTGTCAATGTGGAAACAGGCCCAGAATCCTCCTGATCTAGCCTGTTTTTCTTGATGGGTACAGGGACTATTTCCCTCTCCTGAAAGGCAGTAGAGCAAATACAATGTCAAATGACCATTGGCCTTGGCACAGGAGAGACAGTGGGGTCGGCGGGGAGCTGGGAAGTGTGTGGCCAGAGTGGCTTCAGCTGAGCCCAGGTTGGGTAGAGCCGATGACTCAGCGGCAGGAACCACTTGTCACTGTCTCGATGTTAAAATGCCAAAAATGATCTAGTCGTTGCTTTTTCCCCTTACTCCCGTCACTCCTTGCAGTGGCTTCTGCCTTTGCAGAGCGTTGAACAGGATCTGACCCGGCCAGTCCCGAGGCCGCATGTAAGGAGATTGGCCGAAGCTTTAGTCTGATGTCACGCTCATCTCTCCCGTTCGGTCGGTAGTCCAGGAAGGAAGCTTCTGCCAAACTAACCTGATTGGTCCAAATCACCCCCAAACCACCATCTCTGATTCAGGCTTCCGTGTGTGGAGCCCCTCGGTTTCCCTGGCTGAGTCTCGTGGAAGGGAGCTTGGGCACACCCACCCCAGTGCCCTGGCCACCTGTCTCCTGGGCTCACCGGGGGTGGCGGGAGCTGCGGCTGAGTCCTGGCCTTTGCCGGAGCCTCTCCAGCCATCTGCGATCTGTCACCTCAGCTGTTGGCGTCTAATTGGGAGAAATTTACACTGGGCGGACCAAGCAAACCCAACTGTGTCAGCTTACAACTCGACAAGCAGGGCTGTCTGCAGACCCCCGCGGCAGGTGCCCGCCGGCGTCACTGTCCCGAGGACAGCGGGGGAGAAGGGTCTCCAAGTGGTCAGGGCCCAGGGCTGGCCTGGAAGGGAGAGGATGCTAGTTAGGGCGCTAGTCTAGACCCAGCTTATCTCAGAGGCTTAGTCTAGAAAACCACTTCCTACTACAAAGTCCAAGATAAGGAAGGGGCAGAAAATCAGGTCAGCGTGATCCCTGCCCTCCCCAGGGGACAGCCCGACCCCAGGAATCCCAGCCGCTCAACTTAGCCGTCGCGCCACCCCCCAAACAAGGACGCCGCCGCTTAAATGCACTCAGGACACTAGAGCTTTAATGGGTATTAGTGACCACTTCTCAGGGGAGGGCAGCTTTCCAGCTTTTTCCAAGGGGTTCAGGGAAGTCACATTTGCCACCCCCTGGCTGAGGGACAGTGTGGTGAAGGAGGTCAAGAAGGGTCTCTGGCACCCCCAAGCCGCAGGAGGGATCAGAACTCCCTTGCATGGTGTCACGGGCCATTCCTGCCGGGCGGGTGCGCCAGTGCCTGGCTCTAAGGCACCATCCGCCACCACTTGAAGGCAAAGGGCACCCGGCGGATGTTGGCACAGGCGCAGAAGTCCCCGATGTCGGTTAGGTAGCAGTCAAAGTCGTCGATGAAGGTGCACGTGAAGTCTAGGGGCTCCAGTAACTGGCAGATCTTCTCCTCCAAGCAGCAGGCACCCTTGATCTGGGGCCCAAAAGGCTTGGGGATGCCCAGGTTCTTGTCCAACACGATCATCTGCATCTGTCAGAACAGGGTGGGGGAGGCCAGGCTCCCAGAGCACGCCCAA